AAACGTTAAATTTGACCTCACTCAGGCAGCGCACGAAATCAATCAACTAAAGATGATGGAGTGAGACTGAAGACTGCAAGTGACTTCTTAGAAAGTTTGACTTGAAAGAAAACAAAGTAGCCTTGAGACTAAAGCTGTGGTGAGGTAAATAACGAAAAAACCGATTGCTACTTGCGAATGAAAAGAAGGGGGACCAAAAACTTCATAAGCCTTGGAGACACCACCTTTGCCCATCAGGTTCGTGGATATGACGGCCGAATGCCTTCTTCCAACTTTTAACTATTCAAGAAAGACTCCCCATGTCTTTGATGTATTTCACTTCTTTCCACCGAATCTTCACAACCTTTAGACTGTTGCGTTTAAGGTGCATATGGGAGAGGGGTTATCAACAGACGCCCACGGAACCAAGATTGCAAGCCAGATAGATGGTCGAGGCTACGCAGTTCAGACTCACCTCTTGGTAATCTTTGATACATTCAAAGGCAATGAAAGCGATTGATGTGAAGTCTACATCGCCAAGCAGAAGGTCACGAACAAGGGAGTCGGCAACAACCCGCACGGCCTTTTCATCAATTGGGAGATTCTGAAATGACAGAATAAAATGGTTCAAGACCTGACTCTAAAAAGACCGATTAAGTAACTGAATACCTGGCGCCAGAAGACTCATAATTGTAGAAACGTGACCCCATGGATGTGCATTTTCTCTCATAAATCAAAGCCAAATAGATTGGTGAGAATATTTGAGGATGCCATATACGGCTTGAGATTTGGTCTATTTTCGGTTGAGATTGCATGGAAACAGAGAGAGGGTAATATGAGTGAGAACATTTGAAAGATATCTAACCTGTGAAAGAAGATGCAACTATGGATATAAAATATCCATTTCAGAAGTGGGACGCACTCATTTCCCAAACTGGATAATGGAATTTTTAAGATGAGACAAAAAAGAAGAAGATGAGAATTCAACTTGCCTCCTCGGTGGGAATGAAGGAGGTCGTATCGAAGAGGGGAGCAGGAATTCTGGCATCCTCTGCATTGAATTCGACATCCTCGTAACTCATCATATTCAGTAGCTCTTCGTTGCTAGACAACTTCTCCTCCATATCATCCATAGCGTGCAAGGATTGCACCATAACCTCTGCCGCTTCATCTGAAACCATGTCCACATCGAGTTCGGGCTGGGTGAGAGAAGAGAAGATTAAAAACAACTTTTGAAAACACAACACATTTTGCACACTTTCACCAGAGCAACGTAAATTTAAATGAGGTAAACAGAATGAGCAAAGAAAGCGTAATTCACCCTACCCCATCATTGTGAAATGCATGTGACAGCAGTGGAATCAGTGGTCATGGGTGCCAATGAGGGGATATTAACCTGAACAATACTGAGCCAAAATGAGGGTCTTAAGTAAGAGCAAAAAGGCAAACTACCTAGTTGAAGCGTAGCGGAGAAAACTGGGGAGCAGGAGCCAAACCACATAGCCACGCGTACATATACACACAAAGAAGCAATCAAAACGATGGTAGTGGTGGTAGGCTTGTGAACACAAAACAAAACCAACTGAGATACGTACTTTTTTACTCCCTTTTGTTCGATTGCGCTTGTGGAAGTTGTAGGGTTAAAAAGTAATTGAAGAGCCTCTGGACATAGTCATAAGAACTTAAGTTTGTTTTTATGCATAAATGAGTAACCATAGAAGATTTCGTCTTAAACTAACATGAAAGCGGATGATGTATGAGGGGTATAGATCTGCCCATAAAACGACAAGACTGGCAGCCAAATACAGTGACACGTCAAATGTCGGTGAAAGGCGGATTCACGCCTGATTAGGTGATTTACCGAGGATTGCACAGAAGTGATGCCAATGATTCCCACTTTATATTACCTATTTAGTCGAGCAGATTTGAGTAGACTCAACAAGTAAAACACTTAGACATTCTAAGTAGAGTACACAACCAGCTTAAGTGATTCTACTTCTCAATTTGACTGGTCACTAAATTTGGTAGGATGCAAAGTGAGCATGTCAAAGTAGGAGTGAATAAGGAAGGAAACACATGACGAGCGAGCTTAAGCATAGTGCACACAACTCTCTCGCCAGCGCATTACAATTCCTGTGAATATTGGACGTGGCGTAAAGAAACGCAAGCCGAGGGCCACGTGAAAACCAAAGGTGCCTGAATGGGTTTGGGGTAAATTGAGGCGGAAAAGTATCGCCTTGTAAACGATACTGTTGGCAACAAAACAATCACATACTCCAATTAACGACACTGAATAAATACAATGCATGAAAAACAAGGATTTACCAAGTCATCCGGCATGATATCCTCCACGGTCACTTCGACTTCAGCGTTGACTTCACCAAGGAGAATTTTTAGCACAGATCGATCGGCCTCAGTCACATTGGCAACAAATGGGTCCTTTAAAAAAGAATACAAGTGATTTGAACTTCTCAGTAAGTAGTTCTATGAAGTACAAGTGGGAGGAGAGAGAAAATGACCTAAACGTACGCTTTTGAGATCATCCATGGAAGGACGTTGGCCGGGATTCTTTTGCAAACATCGTTGCAAAAGATTATTAAGGGAGGGAGACCTAGAAGCAAGAACGCGATATTGCTTATTTGTGCATAACGTGTCAAGAACAAGTGCAAGACAGCAGCTGTCAGTTCCACAATCTACTCGTGGTGGGGAGAGAAGTCTACCAAATATTACGAGACAACAGATGTGAGAGGACAAATGCATGCCATGCATAGCAAAATGGGGTAAAAAGAAAGATACTTTGGAATTTCTGGACTTGTGCATAAACCGAAAGACGACGTAAGCTAGGGCATACATAGTTACCACTTATTACCGCCTTAAAAAATCAAAACAAAAAGGAAAAACATGAGAAAAAGAGAATAGACAAGGGGTCCAATTTAAAATTTATCAGGATGTACAATTAAATTGTGCGTAAAAAGAGAAAGAGGAACAACTATACTTCTCCTACATTACCAAATAAATCGGTAGATGTTCAACATTTACGTGCGTTTAGCGTAAAAAATTTGGTTACAATTAAAGGATGCAAATAATGACGAATAAAAAGGAGGACCATGAGAAAAAATACCCAGCTAGAAAGCAAAAAGTTATATAACATGTCATTCAACTAGTTGACCCACCATGCCTTTGGTCTGGAAAAAGTAGGTGGATCACTTCTTGTAATTTTCAGCAATACCCGAGTGGGATTAAGGTCATTGTAGGGTGGGAGCATTTCAGCAAATTCAATCAGAGTAATACCTAGAAAATAGCATGGGAAAACCTGAAAGAAACTTACCGAAAGACCACACATCAGCAGCCATGTCATAGGGATTATCTTTGAAGGTTTCACAGGCAATAACCTCAGGCGCCATCCAATATGGGGTGCCGATAAAAGTTGTGCGCTTTTGATTCTCACTTGCCATTCGTGCCGACACACCGAAATCGGCTGATGGAAAAAAAGTAAATTGTGAGAAAATGTTACCCACCCAAGCGTACTTCGTTATTTAGAGTTATTAAAATATTTCCAGCCTTAAGATCACGATGAATGATCAAATGCTTGTGAAGAAATGCGAGGCCAGATATGACTTCATGAGAAATAAATCTGATCTGCGGTTCTGTTAAAGGCTTATCCAGGGCTTTCATAATGCTATCAACTGCACCTCCGCCACAAAACTCGAGATACATCTAGGGAAAAGTGCATGAGAAACAACCGACAAAATTACCCAGATTTTTTTATCAAAGACATATGCTTCATGTAACTGAAGAATATTTGGATGCTTGCATTCATGCAGTATATCAATTTCAACCATCAAATCTTCCATCTCTTCATCTGAAGAGAAATCAACGCTTTTAAGGGCTGCTACTTGTCCAGTTTTAACTTTTGATGCCTTAAAAGATGGTACCGTGGTATACAAAGCTACCTTGTAAACTTTACCGAAAGCACCGTCACCGAGCTCTGCTATGTTTTTCCAAGAGTTGGACGGATCAACACCCACCACAACCACGGAAGGAAGGGCCTTTGGTTTCGGCCTTTCCTCACCTTGTCGCAATTTTTTAAGAAGATTTCCGAAGAAGGACATTTTCATGAGCCAAGAAATGTCTATCAAAAAGTCAAATACATAAATGTGAAAGGGGCTCTTGGGACGCCAATCGCATAGCCACACAGCGCGGACCAATAAACGAGCCGGTAAATAATTAAAGCAATAAAAGTCTTTGCTTTTATGACCTCCGAAGGGAAACATATTCTGCGAAAGAAAGCACATATTTGCTGACAAGTTTTAGGTTATTCAATGTAAATATCTCACAGATAACCAATCAAATATCACTTAGGGGTAAAGGGTTCAATGACAAGATAAAAAGTGAAAAATGGGGTCTGGTACACAAAAAACATGTTGTTTTAAAAAAGATAGCTGTATAAAAAAACAAAAGAATTTGAGTATCAAAATTTTTTCACCAGTTAGCTAATCTACATAAATTTGCAGCTGAGTGTATTACTATGGTGGTATAGCGAAACGCGACACCCTGAATGCGAAAGAAGGCACAATACTCAGGCAGAATATACATATTCAGCACAAAGAAAATGTCTGGGCTACTGCATGGCCCAAAGGCCAGCCCACCCAGCGAGGTACAAGCAGGCTAATTCGAAGTACAAAAGTTGTGTGGTTGCAAATATATTCTAGCTTTATGTAAAAAGCAGTTATTTAAACACTCAGTTTAAAAAGGCCAAATTATGTGTTTGCTGCTAAAACATATTCAAAAAACCTAGTCTACGGTGGAAACTGAAAGTGCAAATCCATTTTAGAAGTCAGCAAAATATATTTTACTGGAGCATTGTCTTTATTCGCCTTCAAAGAAGTCATGAATTACAACATTTATAGCATCAAAAAGCAGATCCCAATGCATAAGAACATCTCTTTTGATTAATAATAATGGGCGATACACCTTAGCAGGGTAGATGATGCACATGTACTGCTGATATTAAAATCAATCGTTGACCATAATAAAGCATTGTCCACTTCAGAGAGGCTTATTTGCTCTCACAATCCAAGAGAATGTAAAAGCTTAAGTCGCTCTGCCCAAGTAAGCTAGCACGCTAAGGCTTCCAGAGAATCAGTCACTTCTTAAAATGCAGCAATCATACACTTTTTACAAAATTAAAAAATGTCAGATGTGTAGCTTTAAGTATTCGCAGAAATGAAGGTGCTGGACTCATGTATTCATACTTGTATTAATAACAACCATAACTTAGAGCAAAAAGAGTCAGTATCCAAAAAAGTCAATATGCGCTCTTAAGGGCAAATGCGTTTGAAAGTAAAACAGGTCAATTGCCTGTTAGTAAAACCAAAATAGATTCACAGAATTATCTAAATGCACTTTAGCCAGCAAACTCTTTGTCTTGTTTGCTAAAAAGGGTATGTTATTTGCACAATTCATTGGTAACTTCCAAAACCTGACTTAGTGAATTTGCGTAAATTTATTTTACTACGTAAAGATGAATGCACTGCATACACTTATAAACGTCAGTTTAACACAAAAATTTTGTAAGGTGACTTGCATTGCAATTTAGTTCGATTGGGAAAAAGCCCAAAAAGTTATTTTGTTTCACTTTACCATCAATATATGAGCTGAGGTCGTGGTGGTTTGTGGTAGCAATTTGTTCCCCATCTCTAGCAGTGATTCCGCAATGTTTGGTATGCGAATTTC